TGGTGTCTGAATCCTAATCCCTCCTACCACACCATTATACTGAGCTTAAACTTTGTCTTGTCGATTTGCTGTGTCCTCAGTTATATCATTGTTTCTCCTCCTCCGTTATTTCTCCCTTTCCGTTTTTATCATTTTTTTTTTTTCTTATTCTTTTACTTTTCATCTTTCTCTATGATCCTTCTCTTTGATTCTTTAAGGTTTAAAATTTTTTAAGATATCTTTTGTTTTATTTCCTAAACCCTTGGTGTTGAATTTTGCTTGTCAGGTAAAATAGCTATACAAATGGGGTATTTTGAATTTCTCTTCTGAGGAATTTATTTATTTATATATGCTCTGTTATAATCAATACATTGAGCTCTCTTTGTGGCTCAGTTTTAATGTTTTTATATTTTTAGGATTCACTTGGATTTTTATCTCTGTATAGTTCTCTCTCTCCCCGATATATATATATATATATATATATATATATATATATATATATATATATATATATTATACACGCACATACACCTGTCCTATCTTTTAATATATATATATATATATATATATATCCAAAATTAATATATATATATATATATATATATATATATATATATATATATATATATATATATTATACACACGCACATACACCTGTCCTATCTTTTTACAATATATATATATATATATATATATATATATATATATATATATATATATATATATATATATATATCAAAAAAATATATATATATATATATATATATATTCAAACAGTTTTGGGTTAAATAATTTAGACATATGTTGAATAGTTTTCATTTTGTGATCCTTCTTTCAGGTTCGCGGATTAATTTTTTTTCGGTATACTTTGAAAATTGAGTAAGAAAAATACTAAAATTTTCTTTCGAATAGTTTTATTTTAAGTACTTTCAATCTTATCTTAGACCGAATAAGCTTGAAAATTTATTAAAAGCATAATAACGAAATCTTAAACAAATAGAAAAGTCTGTGTAATAATAGCCATTCCAAAACAATAAACACTTATAATACCAACTAGTGTAATTGTAGAGATTCTAACGAATGTCCATTGCAAAACCGATGGCAAAACTCTTATTTAAAGCATTATTTCGACTATTGAAAATCCAAAAGTTAAAAAAGATTTTATATTGGGAGTACAAAAGAATTCTTTTTAAATCTCGGTGGTATCAACCTGTTTTATCTTTCACCAATAATGCTTACAAAAAATGACCTTTCTTTCTAAATATTTTTTGAGACTTAAAATAAGTTAAATAAAACCCCTACGGTAAAATCGAAACTACTAAAAAAAGCTAGAACCTGTAAATCTTTAAATGAACCTTGTTTCTTATGCTTACATGAAAAATTAGAAATATCCGATTTGCAGACAAAAAAATTACTAAACCAAAGATGAATTAATTAAAATTGCTGACACCGTTCATCTTTATCTTACAATATAATTATTTTTTAAAAGTAGTTAATTCCATTTCTTATGGCCATAATGTATAAGTAGATAATGGTCCACCCTCTACAAGTAATTATCAGATTTAGTATTGCTATATATTGCTGTCCAGTTAGTATTATTTATATATTATATAGATGTTGCCCATTATTAATTTCTGCAGGTCATTTAAGAAGCTTCCTGAATCCAAAAAATAATATTTTTTTTTGTCGAAATTAACTTTAATTCTGATTAGACTCCTTCCCTCCCATCAACCTTCTTTGAAAAAAAATGAACATGCTATATTTTTCTACAATCACAAGGCATTTATTGCGTACATGTTTCCGTAACTATCAATGATGATCTGTCTACATTCCGTTTTATTATGTCATGCAAAAAAAATAACTTTCCCCACCTTCAATATCTGAGTTTAATTTTTCTATTTAGCGTAGATCAGTCATTTAATTGATTGATTAAACAAAACCACAAGTCTTTTTCTTTTAATTCTAACCATGTTTTCTTACCCCCCCTCCACTGACTTTATATTTCGGAAAAGAGGTAACATTTGCTTTTGAAATTTTTACAAAGGACTTACTAGTACCTTACCATATGCCTGAAAAGGTGCAACTTAGTCCCGAAACACGAAAGCTATTTCCAACATGTTTTTTGTTCTAGTATCTAAAAAGTAAAATAATAATAATAATATACTGCTCTAATTTGTATTGAGCACTTTTTAAAAAAAAAAATTAAATGCTACGAACAGCGGAATTTACACACACACACACACACATATATATATATACTTTTGCAAAGTTGTTTATAAAAAATCTTCAGAAAACAAAAATTACGGATTTAAATTGTATATAACATCAGACGTACTATAGATCATGTCATTTCCTTGAGATAATAGGAACTCTTACTGCGATTACAAATACTTCATGAACAAGATAGCTTAATTTTGCCGTCTCTGGACAATGTATTCAAACCTGTGTTAGAGAATTAAATGGACAGTATTTTGTATATAATTATAGGTAAAGAAGAGGAGAGATTTTAGTCGAGGACTAATGGAGTCATGTTAAAATGAATGAAGAAGTGGTAATAAATGAGGGCCTTATGCTATATATAAATGAAATACCAGACAAAATGTTACTTTGAGGTTTTAATTAAACTTTGTTTGTAAACTTATCAAATGACGCCATGTTGTTAGTGGTCATCTATTTATTGAGCCAATTCTTCTTGTAATTTTAATTTGGATTTAATTACATTTTGTTGTCTTTTTATAATAAAAATAGAGAACATTTTCGTTTGTTTGTGATGCTTTATGAATTGTCGCAGACTTATCCCCGTTTCTGCTATTAATACTCTTTCCAGTTTGACTTTCGTTAGCGACTTTTTTATGAATCTACTTAATTTGTTTTTATAGTTGTACGTAATCTCAGATTTCAAGACGCGAGTTTTCGTTGTTAGAGGAACTCTCAGTGAAATAATATTACTGTCGCGTGTATTCATAGAAATTAATAAAGCAACTCTACATATAGAGATATAGATTAGTATAGTGTAAATGCGTATATATATATACATACTAGTGTAAAGCCGCCCTATCGGGAGGCATTTAAGCTATTTCTTACGGGCTCTTGATTAGTCTTTCATCACAATAAATAGGGAGGCGCAAGAATAAACGACAGAAGAACTCAAAATTGATCAGTGCATTTGAGTAATGTTTTAATATTTTGCTAACCTTTTAAAGTTTAATTATAAAACGTTATGCCGCTAATTTAAACACAATTTGATGTACGTAGGTCCTTATATTCCGTAAAACAATTATTTTTTTATTTTATGGGTGACTTTCGCTGGATTTTGCCTGTTAATTTGGATTATTCATAAAAATTATTTCCAAAGTATACAAATTGTTATCGTATAAAAAAACTTGTCGCAAAAAAATCACGTGAAAAATCGTCGAAAACAATCGCAATAATGAAAACATGGGAATCACAATTTTCAGGATTGTGTGTCAGAATCCGACGCGGAAATGTTTTTAATTTGATTACGGAGTTGGACTGATTCCAAAATGGTATGATGTATTGGGCTGGCCTCTAGGAGTAAAGTTGAAAAGTGTGACACACTGATTCACTGACATTCACATTTATTTATCGATCTATATATACATGGTGGCATGGATAAATTGTCGTTTGAATTACGCAAAAATGAAAATAACACTGACATCTCATTTTAATTGATATATTTATCAATTTTTACAGAAAAATATCTTGAAATACTAAATGGTTAAACTTATTCAATAAAATCCCAGGTGTCTTCAACCACGACCACGAGACGTCCTCCGTATCTCCTGCAAACCTTCTAAATAGTCTCCTTGTTAAGCTGATGAACGCTGCCATAATTCTTGCCTCGCAGTTCATCTTTGGTGTTAGAGGAATTTTATTGCTTTCTCGCTCAACTAAGCCCCACACATAATAATCAAGGTTTTGCAGTCTGGGGAGTTACTTTGCCAAATGGAAAGGGTGATGTGGTCGTAGAAATGGTCTGGCAGCCATAATTTCATTCTCGTGCTTCTGTGGCATGGTGCAGAGTCCTGTTGCCAGACATAGGGTCTTCCAGCAGCCACCCTTTTGACCCAGGCCAGCACTATCTCATCAAGTCTTGAGTCTGAGGCCATTTGGGAAGTTGAATGAAAGCATAACGACGTCATCACTAGTGATCAGTCAAAACAACATTGTAAACACGATTATACTCATCCAGCTCTTTCCAAATCATCTGTACTGTCCCCAGATTGACATCCAAGCATTATGAAAAAGTTCGCATTGGAGCTTCTGTCGCTAATGCCAAGTGAGTACAGCGTGCCGTTTCGAAATTTCTGGCGGTGTGAATTACGTCATTATTTTTTTTATTACAGACAGTATTCAATTGTCCCTACTATAGTATGCAATCGACAAAATCAAAAACAATCAACGCACATGCTCGAATTTTAAAATGTAAATGGCGACAATTTACCATCGCATACTATATATATATATATATATAGGAAAAGACAAAATTTATAAGCATTTTTAAAAGCTAAAATAAAAAAAAAAACAATCGGTTTCTTCCAGGACTTATCAAGTTTATTTTTATTAAAATTTTTTTTTTAATTTAAAATTTTTTTTTTATTTTTAAATTTTTATTCAGAAAAAAAAATAATAAACTTGATAAGTCCTGGGACGAAGCCAGTTGTTTTTTTTTTCTTTAAAAAATGCTTTTTATAAATTTTGTCTTTTTCTTATCTATTATTAAATTCTGTACCACAAAAACTATATATATATATATATATATATATATATATATATATATATATATATGTGTGTGTGTGTGTATAATTTCTAAAGAATTAATGGATTCATTTTGAAACGACATACATTACTTCTAACGTTATTATAGTGCATTTCTCCGTATTTGAAATAGACGTCCCATTTTTATTTATTAAAATACATTTTGAATTTATTATCCTTATTTGAAGTAATAAAAAGTGTTTTGTCTGTCTGTCTGTCCAGAAGAATAACCTAATCCTCATCGGTCATATCCACATAGAAACACCTGTTCCTGTACGATCACCGAAGTTAAGTAACGTCGAACTTGGTCAGTACTTAAAAAGTGTGACCGCTTGGGAATGTCATATGATTTAAGACTGGGTGTGTAGGAGGGGTGTTATGGATAATAGTGTGTAGGAGGGGGTGTTATGGATAATAGTGTGTAGGAGGGGGGTGTTATGGATAATAGTGTGTAGGATGGATAGGGGGGTGTTATGGATAATAGTGTGTAGGAGGGGGGTGTTATGGATAATAGTGTGTAGGGAGGGGGTGTTATGGATAATAGTGTGTAGGAGGGGGGGGTGTTATGGATAATAGTGTGTAGGAGGGGGGTGTTATGGATAATGGTGTGTAGGAGGGGGGGTGTTATGGATAATGTTATGGATAATAGTGTGTAGGAGGGGGGTGTATGGATAATAGTGTGAGGAGGGGGTGTTATGGATAATAGTGTGTAGGAGGGGGGGGTGTTATGGATAATAGTGTGTAGGAGGGGGTGTTATGGATAATGCTGCGGAATTGTTAATTAGATAGCTGAGTTGCAAATTTTGGGTCCGTTATATTCACTTACGTGTAAAAAAAAAAACTTGGCAAAAGTTATGAATCCACATCTGCCTCAGCTACGAGTTAATTATTCAGAATTGTATCACTAAAAATTATTACCCACCCACCAAAAAAAAAAAAAACAATCTCACAGTCTAAAATATTTTTCTGGCTTGAAATTATCCACTAATGGTTTGATAATGCGTAGAACACGAATCAGTCGACTTCCTTCAGCCCTACATTCTTTAGATTTTAAATATCTCACATTGATATAGCAGTAGTTTTGTTTGTAAAAGATATATGCTGTATGACATAATTATTTTTTCTTTTAAACAAAGGACAGCCAAACCGATCGTCAAATCTAACACGTTAAACGATTAATAATCTAATGTATTTTTTGTAAATTTGATTGATTAATTTGTTTGTTTAATGGTATATCAACTTCTTATGGGTCACTTAATGTCAAAAATTGATTTTCTTGGGAGCTGTGAAGTAATAAAATGTTATTCAGCTATCACAATTGAATGGATATATATATATATATATATATATATATATATATATATATATATATATATATATATATATGTGTGTGTGTGTGTGTGTGTGTGTGTTATCATGTGATATATAATATATAAATGATATTCAGCTTTTTTATATATACATGTTTATGTAGACATGATTACTAGAGGCTCTGATATGTGTTTCGTGTTTGTTGAAGTTATATATTTTGGAATAAAGTTTGATTTAAGAAATTGTAGGATATTATATGGATTAATGTCATGAAAGAATTCTTTCATGTTGTTTGTTTAGTTGATGTTAATTCTGTCTGACGGGCATATCAACCTGTATGGATTATTTAAATTAAATATTTTGAAGGCAATTGTATGCCTTCAACTACAGAATTCATATTGTTGGTAATTCTACGATAAATCGGTATTGTTGGTAATTTTTTATTATTCTTGCATCAAATTCAAGGTTGTGATTTTGTTTTGTGATAATCTTTTTTTTTGCTTTTGAATAAGTGGTAAATGATTTTTATATTTCGTTTAGATAGACTGTTTAGCTGTTTGCCGTTATTCATTTGGTAGATAGTATTATATTGCGAATTTTATGAATATCCTTTATTTTATGAATTTTATTCTAGAGACGTTATTCAATAGCTACTTGGATAAATCTTTCCCAAACCTGTGAAATGTGTCAAGCGTATGCCTAGTTTTAAAGAATGCTAGTGTACCATCTCCCTACTCCCAATACAGATCAATTTTCTCTGTATCACCAGTAAGCTTTTTTGAGGCCATAATCATCAGAAATATTAATTTGAGCAGCTAGTAAAGAACAACGTCTTCAGCGACGGCGGTTTTCGATCGTCGATCCACTTCCTGACGTTCTATCTTAAATTTACAGAATTAGTGAGGTTCTTAACGACAAGACACATCGATGAACATAGCATTAGATATCCCGAAAATAAGGTGATCCACAAAGGTTTACTACACAATCTCTGTAGTTATGGAATCACAGGAATGATCGTCTCGATCCTAAAATCCTTCCTAACAGGTAGGTTACTGAAGGTAGCAATTAACGCCCTAGAGATCAATGCAGGAGTCCCCAGGCGTCTTACCTCAGAGAAACCCACTTTTTGATTTACATAAATGATCTGCCTAAGAATATAATCAGATCATTTGTAATTTGGAATCTGACCAAACCTCACTTTCCAGGCTTGATAGTGTACAAAATTGTCTCCGTACACTTGTGGATGGCGAATTATTCTCCACTCATCAACCTCTCTCTCTCTCTTTCTCTCTCTCTCTCTTTCTCTCTCTCTCTCTTTCTCTCTCTCTCTCTCTCATAGGCGAGATGTAGCAATACCCTCGCTGTGCTATCGCTGCTTCCACGGAAAATCCTCAGACGAACAACATTCCGTGTTTTCGTCAATTGAAACCTTCCCGGCAAGGACACGCCATGCCACTTGCATATTAGCAAACCGCGCACATTCTCTCCCTAATTTATCGGTGAGAAATAAGTTTTATTCGAACAGCCTTTTTCCCGCGAAACACTGCTCTGTGGAACCGAATCCCAGAACAGTCTTTGCTCGATCACTACAATATTAACGGTTAACCCTACCCATGAACAGGGCATCTTCTCCTCCTATCCGCGCAAATTGCCTCCTAACGTAATCCTCTACTTCTATTGGCCCCGGCCTTCACCTGAGTGAACCTTACTGTAAAAATGAAAATGAAAACACACACACACACATATATATATATATATATATATATATATATATATATATAATTTATTAGAAAATTATAACATAAATATATAAAATCACTACAAATATAGACATTTTGTCTCAAAACGTCTGGTGTCTTATCAAGTGATGGTAAAAATGTAGAATAAAGAGTTTTAAAAATAGTTTTAAGAATAGTACTTTTGGTTATTGGAATTTATTTCGTATACACCAATCCTATAGTTGCATATATATATATATATATATATATATATATTAAAAATCAGTCGATGTAATATTAAAGAAATTTACGTATTTTACTTTTCATATCATGTAACTTGGTGAAATGCTTCGTACGAAATCCTAAAATCTTCACCTAAATGACGTCGTCTTATCAAAATTTCATTCAAAGTATCTAAGACTTTGTCAATATTTCCACACCTATGCAACTACTTATACGTCTTTACGGAGCTTTTCGGAGTTCTTGAATGCATCAATAATGACAGTAATCATGAAATTCGCAAAAGAAATTTGTAGATTTTGATGACGCATTATCAACTCTCATTCTTTGGGAAGTTGATATCTATGTAATGACTGAACGTTCAGTATCTGTCTATATTTATGAGATGAGGTATTATGTACACTATTTACATTATGCGACTATTATTGCCCTCAGGTGGTTGAAATGTCGAACTGAACACTTTGTTTCGCTCGCTAGGTAGACTGTTCTAGTTCCACATGCCATTTATAATGGATGTCAGTTATCAGTTATCTCCTGTTAATTCACCTCTCCAAGTTCTCCACTGTCTTAACCAGGTATTGAACTCACAACACTTTGGGTCCTGTCACTGGATCTAACCGTCTTTATCCACTATGCCATGTGTCCTTAAAGATTCAGTTCGACACTCCAACCAACTGGAGAAGGCCGGGACGTATAACGGCCGAAACGTTGTGATAAATTTGGTAACAAAGATGAGGACAATAGAATAATGTAAATAGTGTGACTGAACGTTCTTTGTCTTCTCCAATTAGTATACACCTGCTCTTAACGGCCATTTGGTTAAGCGCAGTTTGTCTAGGAGACAATTCTGTTGCAGGGACCAGGAAGATAAGACGCTTCCCTGCCATATGAGTAAAACATAAGGTCTTTTAACATGACGTCCAGGATTTGTGAATAAATACGTCTTTTTAGGCATCCGCTAATCTTCCTTTTCCGGGTCGGGTAGAAGGCATTTAGTACATTTCTACATATTGTTATTATTATCTCTAGCTAGAAAATCAAGGCTTCATTTAGATTCTTCTGGTTTCTTCCTGGCTTTTTTGTTTGAGTAAATATCTGACTGCAGATATTACTGAAGCCTACCACATATATTTGGTAAAACAGTCTTACTTATTATAGAAATAGTTCGACAATTTTGATATTTCGCAGTTCACTTATCTTTAATTTTCTAACAATGTTAATTTGATTTTCTTACTAATTTTATTCGATTGTCCGCTAATCTGTTGACAGCACACTATACCGCTGTAAATAAATTAATTAAACCCATTCCTGTTGCTGTATAGCCTTTAGTTTTCATATTCAGTATTTGAGCGCAACGAAGTCAAATCAGTTAGAATCTCTGACAATGTCGTTAGAAGGCAAAATGGAATGCATTGATCTTAATACTGCACAGACATTATTTACTGTTAGTGGAATCTGACAATTTTCCCATATCATTCGATGTCTAGGCGGCAAATTGAAATCAGTTTAAAATAGATTCGTTGTTATACCTAAAACGTGCCCCCAAATAGATGACGATGATCCACTGATTTCTATTATTGCGAAGATGACTGTCATTCTCCTATAATTTATCACGATAGTGCGAGGCAATGTCAGTGAAATGCTAGCAAAGTTTTGCAAACTTTAATATAACTCGACAAATACGGTTCAGTGACATGATTTCCCCAGAGTGTATTAAGAGATTTCTGAAAACTTTCTTCACTCAAGTGCCCGTCTGATGATTTCTTCTCCACTTGATGTATAACACTAAAATTAAAAAGTGAATATACATACACACGCACGCACACACACACACACACGCACGCACACACACACATATTCACACAAATATATATGTTGGTAAGAATTTCCATCTTTTCTTTACATAAACCAAGGTAAAATATAATATTAATATAATATACATATATATATATATATATATATATATATATATATATATATATATATATATATATATATTTATATATATATATGCTTATATATATATATATATATATATATATACACACAAATTCAAATTGATAATACTTGAG